AACACCGGGGCTCAAGGAAAGAACAAAGGCGTGCTGGTTTCGCCATAGAACCAGAAAAAGAATCCCTGAAGAATGGATTAATTTGGGTCTAATCTATGAGACCTATTCCATGCTCACTCTAGCAATGAGAGCTATTGGAGCAGGCAGGAAGCAGCGCTCCTGATTAAATTGCCTAAAATGACTCGAAAGTTCTTTACAGTGCTGCCTCTATACAGCAGATGCTCTGCATTAATTGGTCTACGAAGGCCTGACCCAGGGTTCTGTGCAAGGGGTTTAAGAAGCATTTTCATAATTTGCCATTACCTGGCGTACATGATGTGCGCTCAAAGTGGTCACAATAAAAAAAAAAAAAATGCATGCAGTCCTTAATGTTCGAAGGGGCTTTGGGGAGGTGGTGTTACGGAGGTAATGTTTTTTAACAGGTAAGTCCGAAGCGCCATTCATCAGAGGCCTGCTCTCTTCCCCTCGTTCCAGCCGCGGCCATGACTGATGGGCCTGTCTTTTGTATGAATGTTTAGCTCAGTGGAAAGCCATATGCCACTGGCAACAGCTCCCACCCGCAACCTCCGACTGTAGCAGTGGAGAAAAGGAGAAGAAGAAAGTCAGAGAGCGACAGGGCTTCAAAAGTAAAAGGAGTAAGCAAGCAGAAAAAGAGAAATAATAGAAGAAAATGTCTATCAAGCCTTATATGTTAAGATGGAAGTTATTATATTAGGTATAATATAATATACACCAAGTCCACCATCCCCAGCACTCCTGGTAAGTATTTGCAGTTTTTAACATTTTTTTCTTTCCAGGGTCACACAGGTGGAGTTAACGGTGAAGGTAAGTAAAATCATTTTTTTTCAGGTGCGAGGATCCAAGGTAAGTAAAAATGGTTTTAAAAGGTTTTAAATAGGAGGAGCTCCTGGTTTTATGCTAAAAGTTTTAAAATCTTAAATATGTGTATTAAAATACATCAATAAAAGATTAAAACGGCAATAAAACGCGTCCTTCTTGCTTTAAAAACAGGGAAAATGCACTTTAAAGCAGCTAAAAGACCTTAAAACATGCTAAAATCGTGTGTGTGCGTGTATATATAAATACATATGTATATTATATTTACATAGACTTGCTGACATTACTTGCGTAAGAGGTTTTAATAAGAAAAGTGGTGGTGGTGGGAGGTTAGAGAGGAGGTGGTGCTGGTCCATCTGTCCCAAGCAGCCTCACTCCCGGTGCTGCTGCCGCCCCCTCGTGAGAGAAGCACAGCTGTTACTGGAAAGCCCTACTGTCCAGAAAAAAAAAAAGGGGGCCCGCGCTCCTCCCCTCCATCCTGTATCTCCTCGTCCCTCCAGCCCTCCACATCTCCGCCCAAACACCCCTACGAGAGGATGAAACGAAACCAGCAAAGCCTGGCCACTGTGCAGTCAGCCTGCGCGTCTGCAATTTCAAACCTCTTTAGATCATTTTTCATGCTCGCCAGAAATGAATAATGCACACATTAACTTGGTGCCAGTTAATAAATTTCCGTCTCACCGCACTATATTTTTCAATAAGGGGGTCTGGCTGCTTCGTTTTTTTGTTTTGCAAAACAGACTCAACTGGGCTCCTGCTGCAAATTATCCAAGCCCCTCTAATTCATCCCGAGCCAGAGAGAGTTACTTTTACTTCAAAAATAATAAAATCGTCCCTAAACTGGCCCCCGTTTTCCGTCTTTCATGCAAATGTCAAAGACTGTATTGACTGTTTTGTAAAATCCGCGATCGTTTCTCGTCGTTCCTGACCCATCCCTGAGCAAAGGATAATACACCGTAACATTTTTCACAAGAGTGCATCCTCAAAAATTCAGCCCCCAGGGCACCGCTACATAGAAAACAGAATCAATCTTGGGGAACTTCCAGGGCTTTGTAAGGGAGCCAAATTGGCAGCCTATGTCCATTATACCAGTTCAACAAAGCCCCTGACTAGCATCTGGCCGCACCGGACACTTTATAGCCTATCTCTAACTATTAATCATTGGCCGCGACATCACACGGCTCTCGAGAGGGTGGCTGAACGCTCCGTTACGGGGAAAGGGGACCGCTGGAAATGCCAGGGCATGTAGACATGGCAGCTCCGATGCCTGCTGACAGTAGCCCTCCTTAAAATGACAGAGTGCATCCAAGCCAGACGGACGGAGCGGCGTCGGGAAGGCGCTGTGACAGGCGAGAGGGGGGGCCCTTTTTAAAAAAAAATGCCACCGTGCCCTAGTGGCCCACAGTGTCGTAAGCGCGCTGGTAGCATCCGTGGCGAGGTCGTGTCGTGTAATATGATCTAGATGAGTCGGACAGGGTGGGTCCCTCTCCGGGACACGGTTCGGGGTGTCAGACAAGCTGCTCCTCTAATAAGGACTGCCATTCTAATGATCACTCAGTCGGCCTGACCTCTGACCCCCGCTGTTATAAGAAACTGAAAGGGAAGGGGGGGGGGGGGGGGGGGGGGGGGGGGGTGGCCGAGATGGTGGGAAGAACTTCAAGTTCAAATGTGCGGTATTTACATCAATTAGACAGGCAAGATGGAGGTGCCCATCAGAGCCCATTAGGATTGTTGTGGATGTGGAGGAGGGAGGGAGGGGGTGGGGGGGATGAGGAGGGCCCTGACAGAGGCCCAGCGGACACATCACAGGCCCGTCCTTGATCACGTCCTGTCACATTGATGAGAACTCAGTCAAAAACCGCTCACACGGATGTAGAGTCAGTTCCAGGCAGAGCGTGCAACATTCAACGAAACAATTCATCCGAGCTGCCGTGCAGTTTTTTATTAGGACCAAATACCTCAGATAATGTTATCAAAAGGACCATTTTTTTCACATGTAGCAATTTTGATAAGCCCTGTGTCTATTTTTTTTTTTTTTTTTTCGGGGGGGTTTCTGTTGCTATTGGCACTTATCTGATGCAAAATAGCACACCCGCTGTTGCAAAACACCCTCAGTGGGTTCAAATTAGTGCTCCCCTGCCTCTTGTTTTTTTGCTGTTGAAAACACTCCTCCAACAAAGAATGACAATAGTTTCTTTTTTTTTTTTCTTTTCTCATATGTGCTGTGGCTGATCAAAAACAAAATGCCTTGTTGGATTGTCTTCTTATTATCATGCGGCATGAGAGCAATCAGACTTGATTCCCCTTAATCCATTGATTATAAGTATCAGAACTCATTTATGTGAAGACGCGAACGCAACAAAGAACTCCGCCTGGGAGATGATGTCCTAATATCATTGTGGTGGAGCATCCAAGCAGGTAAAAGGTGCAGAGTGAATACCCGGAGAACAAGGAGAGGACTTCATAAGACTGTAGGATCCCATCTTTTATTAATGTCACTCCCTAGGACAGCAGGTTTTTGTCAGTCAGAATGGATAATGAAGATGTTGCTGGGGCCGGTGAGTCCATCCCTTAATTCTCACATATTTTATGATAATGAAAGGTATTCAAAGAATGATTAGGATAAAAGTGGGGCTTCCCTACTGATGTGCTAGCGCAGCTGTGCAACCAGCCAGTCAGCTGCAGGCACTGAATGAAAGGATTACACAGAAAGTAAAGAAAGGATCTTTAAGTACATAAAGCGAACGCTGATGGTTTTTTGTAGCCAACCCTGCATCAGCAGCCCTGCGTGTTACGCTGCATGACAAAAAATAATGTGAAAGGAACGCTTTCAATCTTGAATGTCACTATTCCAATGTTTTTGATCCTCTTTTTTTTGTCTGCTCTAACTCCTTGGCGCGAAGTCTTTTCAATGTAATGACCTTTACATGAATCTTATAGAAACAAAACAACACACGAAAGTGTTCTACATATATATAGCGTTCTATATATATATATATATATATATATATATATATATATTATGTGCGTGTGTGTGTATTCAGTTGTGTTGAAAACACACATGGCAAACACTTAAATCAAAGCAGTGATGGTAAAAACAGGCTTGAGCAAGAAGGAAGTTTCATCATGTGATATTAGCTGCATCTTGAGGCCGTATACAAAGGACAATGATAGTCGTGTGTGCCGTGGCGCCCCCCCGAAGAGCGTATCAGTAACATCTCCCCGGCATCAAAGCGTCAACTGGTGTATTGTACTGTATGTGTAAACAAACTTAGCCGCCCCTAAAGCAAAGCCATACCAGCCCGCCACGGCTTCAAAAGTTTCCTGCGAGCCGTAGGAAGCAGGTGAAAAAATAGAAGTGTGGTGAACTTTGACCCCGGGCGCACACTTGTTGACTGATGTTTCACACTGGGGTTACATTTTCCCTCTTCAGCTTTCTTCCAAGAAGAGCTGGTCAGTGTGTGAGTGCGAGTGTGTGTGTGTGCGAGCGAGCCGGATTCCCCGGGGAGATCATCTCCATCTCCCTTTGAAGGCTCTGTGCTATAGAGCTGTTTTCATACAGCACCGGCCATGGGTTTCCTGTCTCAGCTGACCCCTCATCTTCTTGTGGATACTTGAAAAGAAAACTTCCGAGCACAAACACATTTCTCCTATTAAACTGCAAAAGGCTGCGAGAGGAGCAGGGAATCAAAAGGCTGTTTGAACATCAGTATCATCCTTTTCTCGGGCACATCCTCTAGACTGATGGAAGAAAAGAAATCACAATTAACGCACCTTTTCTTTGGGTTGAGCGAAGACCACACTGCGGCTATCGCCTTTGGGCCGAAGGACATTTAGATCCTCTGAAAAAGTCCCAACGCAAATAAATGGACACCAGATTCTCTGGGTGCACATGTGCAACGGTGCTCCGTCCAGCTGACACAACACGGGGTCAGGAGATGAAAAGAGGAAGGGGTTCACAGTGGATCAGGTCCACATGGTCTTCAAATAGGGCAGCAAAACAGCCCCGGTGCAGCTGACTATGTAACCAGCACACACATCAAACGTCTGTGCTCAACACACACAGAGCCGTGAAATCAAATTAGGTTCTCGACACTTGAGTCTTAAAAAACCTGAAAGAATTCACAATAATAGGTAAAACTAGGAAGTGGCACTTGCAACTGTGTAACATGTGTTTTTATTTAACCTTTGTTTCTCTCATTGATTTGTACGAAAGAACAGAATCCGAGTCTGACAAATCGTGTGTGTGTTTTTTAAAATGTTTTATTTCAAAGTGTTGTAAAGCCAGTATCGGTGAGATAAAATTATACAAAATGGAACAATGGAAACAATTTTTCTATAGCAAGCAGGGGTCCGAGTATGTTTCCCTCAGGGTGTGTTGCGCTTAAGCTGGTCCAGTTTGCGTCGCAGCATGTTGTAGTTGTCTCTGGTCCCGGGAGCCTCGGGGTCCAACTTTAGAGACAGCTCATAGTGTTTCTTTGCCAGCTCCAGCTTCCCCCAGCGATGATACAGCACAGCTGAGGAAGAAACACAAACCTTCTTTTATCTTACAAGCAGCAAAAAAACTCTAATTCTATTGATTTGGTGCATTCAGTACAGACAGGCAAATAAAAATGCAGCGTCTGCTACAATGCATGAATAGAATTTTACATTTCAGGTGCTCGGAATCTCGCACGGCCGCAAACGCAAAATTGCAGTGGCCATACCTAAATTGCCATGGCAACTAGCAGCATTTGGGTTGATCCGAAGAGCGTGAAGAAAGAAGCCCTCTGACTCCTGAGGAATGAGAGGAAAGCAAACAAAAGGGGGGGGAGAAAAAAAGGAAAAAAAACATACAGAATTATCTCTAGTCGTCAGAGGGATTCATCACTCCTGAGCCGGAGCAGACAGAAAACAATGCAACCAATGCTTCACGTATGTGGAATTGACTAATGTGGACTGACCTTGTATTTTTGTAATTTCCCCAGGACGTTTGCCAGCGAAAACATAATGGTATGGTCATTGGGAAGGACCCTCAGAGCCTCTCGGCCAATCAGCTCTGCTTGACCCAGGTTACCTTGAAGAGCGACCGGAAAATTAAGAAAAATGTCAGACATTAATATTAAATGAATACCCACAGCTACAAGCACATGCTCGCGTTCTATTTTGAGTGAAGTTTAGAAGGAGGAAGACTAAACGGTAAACAGTTTGCAAAGCAGCCAGTAAAATTGCTGCTGCACACTAATCTGCACCACACATTTAAAACCACATTAGACACAGCTAAAGCGAGATTTTCTTTGCTTTATTTGTCAGCGGTGTCTAAAGCCGAATTTTTCTCTTCCCCACATAGAAGGGAGTGGTTTAGTCTCCTAATTAAAGTTGAACACAAGGCCCACTGAGTTATTGATCTCCGTCACAGATTCGTCTGATGTCTGGCCAGAAATGGAGAAAGAACAGAGACAGACAGACATGAGAGGGCCAAACAATGGCGGTCGTGTCCCGAGTCATGGCCCATGCCCTTCACACACAGCTTGCCAACCTGTGACTACACGTGTGACTGCATTTGCAGATATTTGGGCCAATTGTTTGTGTCGTGATCAAAACAAAAAGAGGAGAACTGAAAGCCAAAGTGAGAACAACAATCCCAAAATCCTCACTATTTCAAAAATGACACCTATTGTTCTTCTTCTTTTACCTCTTTGTTTTTTTTTAGGGATTTTTTTTTTTTGGGGTGGGGGAGATGGGTACAATCATTTCTGTCAAGATTCGGGAACAAATGCGGAGGGGGAACTCTGAGGGGGCGCTGTTCCGGCTGTGCTCGCTCTCGTTTGATCAGAAGCACACTGAGTCCTGATTGGACGGTTCCAGTGCCCTCCTGGGAGACTCCGCCCCCGCGGGAGCGGCTTCTGACAAAACGGCTCGAGCGTTTGGAAATCAGAGCATTCTCCACACGGCAGGGAAGAGTGCCTTCAAAACTCACAATACAAAGCTTTAATACATAAATTTCAAGCATTGCTGATTCCTGCTCTTCCGGTCTAATCTTGTTGGCCATTTAGATTTCCTGCCTTTCCAAAATAAAAAGGCAGTTTTTTTTTTGGGCTGTTAATGTTTTATCAAGCTGCACCTGCAACACACTTCTTTGATAATCAAATGACTCATACATTTGCATACAGTTCATTCAGAATTGATGGATACTATTTCTTTTTGAGTTTTCAACAAAAAAAAAAAAAAAAAAAAAAAAAAAAAAAAGAAAAAGGCACTTGTCAAATGTTTAATGATATTTAGCATTAATTGTACTGAAGGGATGAGGGTGTGTGAGCTGTGAGTGTTTTTCTATTATACCTGTGTTGTCCAGGAGAATGATCATATTATTCCAAGCCAGGCTGTGATCAGGTTTTAGCACAGTTGCATTTCTCCATGCATTCAGGGCTTCCAAGTGTCTGCTCTGGTCAGCGTACTATTAAGTAAGAAGCACATATCAAATCCTCCTGCGGATTAAAATCTATTCTATATGTCGTAAGATTCGAGATCAAAGCTGCAGGCAAATTTTTTATGTGTGAATTTGAAAACAAACGGCCGATAGAGGAATCTCACCAGGCGTCCCAGATTGTAGTAACAGTCTGGGTATTTTCGTCGGAAGCGGATGGCGTTCCAATAACTCTGCTCTGCCTCCTCAAACTTCTGGAGGCTGTTCTGAACGATACCGAGGTTCATCCAAGCCGCAGCAAAGTCAGGTCTGCAATATTAAAACGAAAAAACAAAACACATTTTTCCATAATCATATAGATGGTTTGCGTGGATTGAGCAGCATCTTGTGTTATTCGAGGTCTCATACTGAATGGAAACGGCTTTGGACAGCAACGTCTCTGCCTCAATCAGTTCATTCTTCTCCTTCAGGATGTTCCCCAGGTTGTTCATAGCATGGACGTAGGTTGGATGTAGCCTGAGAGAGCGACACGCAACCCAAGTGAGCTACTTGTTCACCTGTAACGAAGTGATTAGACCCCCGGTGTGTGGAAACGTACCTGACTGCCTCTCTGTAATATCCGACAGCAGCAGTAGTGTTCCCTCTGTCGGCCAGGTTCTTCCCCACATTGTAATGTACCTAAAGGGATACAAGGCCGAGAAACGGGGCTTCAGGTTGTGGCTTGGTGCGTTTCTCTTTGTCGTATTCACGTGTGGCCAAAAAGCAATTTCCTAACACACACTTCAGAGGAGGAGGAAAAAAAAGCAAATTGCCTCTTACCTTGGCATTGAGTGGACAGACAGCCAGGGCGCTGGTGAACAGGCTTTTTTCTGACCGCCACTGGTGGCTGCGTAGGGCACAGCGAACCACGTACATGCATAGGAGGGTAAGCACCATGACACACAGCAACCTCTGTAAAAAGAAAAAAAGTAAGAGAGAGAGAGAGAGAGAAGAAAATACTTGACAAACACATTTAAAAAATGCAGTGCAATGTTAACATAAATAATGAATAAGCTGAGTCCAAGAAAACAGGGCTAATCATGTGGCTTTAGAGGTAAGTCATTAGTCATTTCTCATTTCTGTCTTACCGCATTACCAAATCATTAAAGCTGCATAAGCAGGTGATTAAGTGAGCACATTTTAAACCAGGACAAAGCGACCTGGTGAGTACAGAAAAGTCACCGGGTTGAATCGATGCTGGAAACAGGGTTCGCAATCTTCACCTTAAGTGTGCTTGTTTTACCCTGTGTTTGTTCCAGCGCCAGCAGCAGAGCGCGACGGCGTGGGCCAGAAGCAGGCAGTAGCCGGCGGAGGACAGGTAGAGCACCCTCTCGGCAACGACAAAGCCCACCCGGAAAAATAAGTTGCACGCGGGCAAAAAAGGGACCACCAGCAGCACCAGGCCCAGAGTCAGTGTCCTGGTTCAAAGGATTACACACACAGATGTCACTAAAAAAAAACGCAGGTATGTGGATGATTTTGACCTTTAGGCCAATTTGAGTCTGACCAACAGAATCTGGTCACACTGCACTGGGTGTGAGGCCATCATCATAGTCATAAGCTCAAACCCACAGAAGCCAACGTGTGCTTGATTTCATCTGCAGTGATTTTAAATGGCTTTGCCCCGCTTACCTCCTCCTCTGGCTGTCCCGTGAACATAAGGCTTGGCTTATCAAGCCTATCAGGACGCACCAGAGCAGCAGCAGCCACACCATCCTCCAATCAGTGGCTGACTTAATGAGAGGCACACAGCCCATAGACCAATCGAAACACAGCCACCAGGGACACAGCAGCAGCCAGGCATTAAGAGAGTAGTAGTAATTATAGTTCACAATCTGCCAATCAAAAAGAGAGGGGAGTAGGGAACAATGGAGGAAAGTAAGGGAAAAGACAAGACAGAAATACAGTCAAAATAATGCTTTCAAATCTTGAAAACTCTTTTTATAAGAGGTAAATTCGAGGGAGTACTACTAACACCCACTATTCAAAGGAGAGGGCCCTTTAATAAAAGTTTTGGGCTTTGTTTTTTCCTTTCATTTAATCGTGAAAGAACTTTCTTCTTTCTTCCTACACCACATTTTCAATTAATAAATCCTAAAAGAATCTTACGTGCTTTTGAAGGGTTTGTTTTTAATGATGCTCTTTGTGACATTGGTCTGTTGGTTCTATCAATTCACTTCTCACTTTACTCAATTCACAACTTACTTAAAAAGTAAACATGAAAATACCCTCTTATGCGAACAAAATAAATGAGCCTGAGCAGATTAAAAGAAAAAAAAAAGTTGAGAACTCATGTGGCCTACTGCGAGGAGAATTTAACTCTATTTTGAGCAGTAATTGCAGCTAATGTGTTGCACACACGACTGAACCAGCAGCTGTTTGTGCTTCCAGAAAAACAAACACAAACACAACTTTGAAAATATAAAGAAATAGGAAGTCATTCAGAAGGTTCATTTTCTTTCTTAACAATCATCATGCTCAGTCCTCATTGAATCTTGTACTTCCAGAAGTTTCTCCCAGTTAAAGCAGAGTTTTTCCTTTCTACAGTCACCTTCTGCACAGTCATGACTGGATCAGGGCATATTTTGCAGTAATCTGTTAGTTTTCTAATAAAGAAAACTTTTTCTTTTATAAATCTAATCAATTTGATATTTGATTAATTCAATTTGAATGGAAAATTCACTTGAAATAAGATGACGCTGTTTTGTTTTGGTGCTATGGAAGTTAAAACTGAACAGAATAAATTTAAAACATAAGCTGGATAATGGAGGGGAAAACAAACCTTATCTTCATGGATATCTAAATATGACAATTCATTACAAAAGTTTGGTATAAATGCTTTACATTGCACTGCTCAACCTCACTTGCAGAGTAGAAGAGAGGTAAAATGTTTGAATGCAAACTGTGAACAGTAATTTCATAAAAGCATGCTGTCGAGATGCACAAAGGTCTGGAATTTTACAACACCAATATAAAATTCAACTAAATAAACGCTGGCAGTAGATGACACAGAGCAGAAAAGGTCACATAAAAGAGAGCTGGCAGCATAATGCAGCAGCACTATACCTCTACTTCATAGTTTTAACAGAGTAGAACTTAAATCAATGGGCATTTAACAATGAAAACCACATCCATTAACACAGAAAATTTAGCGGGATCTTAAACAACAGCTAGTTTTCAAATCTGCCTTTTTTACAGAATTTGACAGACAAAATGTTACAAATTCTTGATCTTTCTGGAAATATAAATACATGGTGGAAAAACAATAGTTGGCAAGCCTTGGAAGGGTTTTCTGTAGCGTTATGTCCTTCAGAAGCTAGGCCCATATGGACTTTTCACAGCTTGAGCAGATATAAGCCTGCTTGGTATGTTTATCATCACACCACATGAGAAGAGCAGCGGGCTAATGGCACTAATGACGTAACCCTGGATCTATTTACTGGGAAGCAGAGGTACACTGAAGCAACTTTATGAACAAGGACAGGCCTTGGCTGCCTGTGTCTGGTTGCATACATCTGCCTTGCTCCAACTGGTGGTGGTGAAAAGTAGGTTGAAACTTAGAGAGACGTTTTGGGAAAACTCCCAACAAAAACTGATTGTGCTAACCATTCTGGTCTTTTGGGGAATCCAAAAGAAATACTTAGAACTATCTATAATCCAGACATTTAGCTATGGATCCACTGTATAACCTGCATCATATTAATAAAGATATAACATTTAATGGAATGACAATGGCAGTAATTTATGCGGTTAATTTTGATGGCATATACTTAGAATAATTTCTAAAAGATGCAATTTGTCTAATTTACTTTCTTTACATCTGTCTCAATTCACATAAAAACATTTTTAGAATATTTTTTTAAGTAAAAGAGCTCTTCTTTTCATATTAAGTATTAAGGTAATCAAAATTGGATAATGAAATCACAATCTGGGTCAACAACTTTTTGGTTCATTTTCTGTTTGGCTAAGAGACTTTAAACATCTGTTCCATGAGTTCCAAGATGAACAAAAGTTCTTTCAGAACCATCTAAAAAACAAAAATTGCTATATAAAAACAATTACCTTTTACTCACCCTAATAAATATATTTTCCTCAAAGGAGGCGGGGTTGTCTACTTCCGTGAATGCTGGTGGTCCTGTGCCCATGATTCTCCAGCGTGCATAGAGCATCAAGAGCCCTCCGAGGCCCATAAGCGCCAATCTTGCCAGCAATCCGATTCGCAACATCTCACTTAGCTGTCAGAAAAATATGACAGATTGTCACCCGTGATTAGAAATGAACGCTTGTTAGTTACATTAAGTAGCGTTTCGTCTGTAATTTGCTGAAATCCATGCGGCTTTATGTTGACAATGTATGCGATGTGACATGAATCATATAAGGGAGCACATATATGATGACAGTAGAGAGAAGGGTATACGTAATGTAACTCACGTCAAGTGGTTTCTTTCTAAACAGTAGCCTTTGGCTGAGTTCATACACATTAAGATTGCAGATGAGGAGGACGTCAAAGGCTATGTTGACACCCTGAGGGAAGATAAACAGCAGAGGATTTTTTTTCTCATTTTATATAGGTCAGTGACAACATTGATCTTTAACTAATTTCTCACGTAAGGAAGACTTTAAGGATGTATTTATGGGAAACTTCTTGTGCATCACCAATAGCATCTTTCTTTTTCAGCTTGTTAGGAGTAGATTAGAAAAAAATCGTCAATTCTAAAAATGGCTTTGCAAAAAGACTTCATACCAAGACGGTGATGCCTTGTTCTTTACAGAGCATTGCTGCAGCACACAGCAAGAGGCTGACCACAATCCACTGGACAGAAAACCTGTCATCTCGTTCAGTCCCTAAGAAGACGAAGCAAAGACCATGCAGGGGTTAGACATCTTGGGATTAAAGTGCAGGTGTTGAAACAGGGATTTTTTAAAAACTAGCAGCTCAATAATGTTTGAAACCGGCAATATCATTATGAGCAAGGGCAGCGATGCTTCGCGCCTAAAATCAAATGTTTGCAATAGACACCTTACCTTTGTTAAAGGCTTTGCAGTAAGTCAGAAAAGACAGCTGGAAGAACAGAGCGCATAGAAGGTCAGCTCGGCCCACTATGCCAGCAACCTTTTTGAGATGGAGAAGAAAGCAGAATTGAGAAAGATTAAAAGACATGATACAAATGGTTGGAAGCACACTTAAAGAAAAAGATCCTTTTTTTAAAAACTCTTACACATGGTTTTTTATAAATCATTCAAACAAAAAATAACTTTTTGCTACACAGAACATGCTCCACAATCGTGTCAGGATGTGGATCCAGTTAGTCAAAACTTAGAAACAAAAGTTGGAAGAAAACTCTCATTATCAGCAAAGCCTGTTGGTGTGTGTGCTCAAAACAGAGTGCGGGGACAGTATGGTTGGCAACCTGGGGTTGCCTGCTTTGATTCGGGCAGCAGGCCGAAGCCAACAGTCTGCCTCCCTCCCACCCCCCCAGGTCTCACCCAGTCCTTGCCCTGCATGATTAAAGAGAATGTAGAGGGGGAATTGCTGCCTTCCAGCCAAGCTTTACAGCAAAAACACATATACTGGCAGGTCAATAAGCATCCCAACACAGATAATAGTCAGGCCGTGCTACTGGACGCACCTTGGCCCTGCGCTCCCAGCTGAGATGGGGCTTTTGTTCTTGGTATGGAAGCACTGGATACTTAGTAATAAAAACCTCTGGACACTATGCCATGCAATGCCACGAGAAAGTTCTTCTGCAGCCCGATACTGTAAGTATTACTCCACCACAATGTGAAGCCACAAAACAGAAGCAGACGCAAGTCCGTTTCAAAGGAAAGGCTCCGGATAGATGTCAAATTACAAAAATACAGGCCGATGGTTTGAAAACTTCTCATCGAAACATGCAAATAGCCAGTTTTGCTTGAATATATAAAGTAAAATAATTAAAAAATAGACACAGATAAAACAATGCAAACACAGTGAAGTCACAACTTTTTCAGCCGAGCCACTATTGATAACTTCCACAATAATTTTTTCTGAATTTTCACAAAACTCTCAATCCAATAGCTGGATGGAAGACTTTTTGTAGTTTCAGATATGGAAATCATTTGGACAGTAAGGGTGAAAAATAATATATCAGACATTAAATGTCAACAAAATATTCAAAAATACATAAGGAGATTTTTAAAAGACTTTTTCGGGTTTAAAAAATAAATAAATAAAAAATTAATACAAAAGATTGTATCTGATTTGGTACAAAAAGCAGCACCCATATGAGCTGCATGTTTGAGGATCAGCTTATAATAAATGCTAAGAAAATAATTGAAATAATAGCGTCCTTCAAAGAGTGACTTCATGATTATTTGTCCATCTACAGAGTGGAATCCTGTGAGTGATTCAACAAGAAATTTTAGTGTGTAAAGGGCAAGAGAGCTCTCAAAAAACTGGACACCCATCTGCTATCCGTCAAATGGCACTGCATCAAGAACACTCATTCATTATTCATCAATAGCTGATATGACACATGGGCAAAGGATTACTTTGTTGAAACCTTTATCAAGCCGCAGAAAAGCGTTACATCCACAAGTGCCACTTAAATATTTACTGTGCAAAAAACAAAAACAAAACAACGCTTGTTAGAGTTTTTCAGAAGCACGTATGACTTTACGGGGCTCAGAGGACTTTGGAACACACTGCCACGCAGATAAAACATGCACTGTAGTTTAAATCTATTATGGAGACTGTGGTTTGGACCAAATGTGAAAAGGAACAATCAGACCATTATTAGTAAAAAATAAATAAATAAAAAAGACAAAACCAAGACTTCCGGAATCTGTATGATATGGGGTTGCATAATAGACTTCACCTGCTTTCCTCACAGTCAAACAACTGTAAAATGATCAAATGTAAGATGTTCTTTAATATTTATAGACTATCTTATCTTAATATGGAGAATCAAAGTCCATTGACAAGCAAAGAAAATTCATCATTAAATCATATCAGCCCTCATTTAGGAGGAATGGAGTTTGGTTTATGCAGTAAGACTGTTTACATGTTCAGCGGAGTATTTTTTTAAAATGCAATCAACTCAAATTTATGTTGTGAATCTAGAGGAAAAATAATGTGTCTTTCTATGCTTAAAACTAAGCAAAACATCTCCAAAATGTCTCCACTTCAGCAATAACTATCAACAAGTTTAAATGTCAACTTTAACATTTATTTCAGATCCATATTCCACAACGATACGACCCTTATTGTGTTCCAGATCTGATCAACTAACAAATGACAAATAATGATGATCCTTATACTCTATAGAAAATACTCCATGCGAAATTGAATGTCTATATGTAGACTGTTAGTCGAGCGGGTCTTAAAGAAAGAGTTTTTGGTTCTTAAAAACATTTCACCACTGGACCTCTCTGCCGGTTAGTAAGAACTAAATGATATATTTGAATGGGCGGGACTGGGGTGTTTAAGACATCTCTAGGAAACAAAAAGAGGTCCAGCTAAAGTCTTCCAGTGATTATGAGAGGGGTGAATCACTGCAATAAAAAGTCAGGCATATGATGGCGTTCATATGGGTTAAGATGATGCAGAACCACCTAGAAAACTGGTGGTTTAATAAATAAATAACAATCCTTTGCATGTGAACGAACATGCAACACAGCGGAGCTCTACTCACACTCTCCGTGTGAACCGGGTGCGCCGCGAAGAAGATGGCAGCAAGCAAAGAGGTCTTGGGAGCAAGGTTCAGTGTCCGACCCTTATCATCATAAGCCAGTCCCCCGATCAGAACAGCAAATATGTCAATCATGAGGGCAGATATGACAGCATGGAGGATGATGTTAAGTACATGGAAGCCAATGGGGTGCAGGCCTCCGGCTATGAGGTAGTTTAACCTGCAACAACAAGAGAACAACATCTTGGAGCTAAATGTATATTAGTAATTTTAGAAGTGAAGTCATTACATCTATAAGCTTGGCGGAGGGTGCATTGTTTAAAGTACTGTGAAGGCCATTAGGAATGGATGAAAAACAGAGTACATGGCAATAGGTTACCAAAAACACTCACAGGCATCCATACCCACCATCAACTTTGCCATTGCATACATTAAATATAAAGACACTACAGCTTTACATCACAACAGCATGCGTAACATAACATGTAGCTGTGTGCTAAAGATGACATATACAGCACTCAGGAGGATATTAACCATGTAAGAATCATTTCCACTAACAAAATTACTATGCTTAGCTCAGGCGAAGTGTGGTGCATTCAGGCCTTGATGCAAAAAAAAATATGGAGCAGTTATCATGGCTCATAATTCATCGCTTAAAGTGTGTTTAATCTACAAAACCATTCCTTTTCAACGGGGTTCCCAGAGGTATGACAGAATAGTCATAATATCCACTCACTCATTGTGATCTCTAAGGGCAAGTTCTGGCTTTGGCTAATTTAGTGCGGGTCATTTGGTTATTTCATGGGCTTTTTAATCAGGAGATAGCGAGATAAAGTTAGCATGCTCTCCAGATCAACTGACTGAGATATTTGCCCTCTCATAAAAATGTAATGGACTGATGGAAAGTTCACACTTGTTGCACAATGGTTATTCACTCCAGTATACATAATTATAATTTTTTTAGTGTCTGTCATAACGACCGATTCCTGCTTTCTGAGTTTGGTAAAAAAAAAAAAAAGTGACTCTTTAATTTAGCAAGAAATAAGAGTCAACTTATGGATCAAGCATGTCAAAGCAAGTGTGAAGTTCAGTACATGTTAAAATAATCATCATCTAATAATTTAGGCTTTGTAGACCAACACAAACCTGAATGAGTGACTATCACTCCTCGAGTTTTATTATGTGCCCTTTAACAAATGATTGACAACCCTGAGGTTCATTGCGTTACTTGAAATGTGGATTACAGCTGGTGCTAACGTGGGTATCCATTTGAGATCAGCACGTAAATAAGGACGGCAGGCAGGGTTCTTTACCTAAACGTAAGGACAGTGAGCGGTCGGTAAGACTTATGACTAGAGTTGCTACTCAAATTGCTTCCCCAGAAATCATTTCGCCAGATGTTGTTCAGGGGCGTTGTTGGTTTCAGGTCCTGTGAAAAGAAAAAAAAACGACGGAGCAAATGTCAACACTGGTTCACGTGGTGAGTTACAGACAGGTAAATCCCATTTCTATCACCTATACATCATTTTAAGCAGGGAAATGAATAGGAAACCAAACTAACCTTGTTGTTGATAATTGCTTCAGAATCATCAAACACAAACTCTCCATCATAACTGTTGATAAAGCACAGGAGGGCCACCAGGGTGACAGTGACTTTGGCCTGGACTGGGGCAAGCTTTGGTAGGGGTAAATGTCCATCCCAATAAACCTCAGTCAATGCCATACTGCACTCAGTCTTCGTCGAGTTTCTATCATTCTATCTCTGGGAACAGGGGATAGGTGCAGGCAGTATCCCCGTCTTACTTCCTACAAATGTACTTTAAATCTTAGATTACAAACGCTGATAACTGGCTCATAAAGAAAGCCCATTGTTCGTGCATGCCTTATCTCTTCAGGAACATGCTTTGGGAGGTCACAGTGTCTTCTGTAACGTCCATGTTAGCTTCTTTATCAGCTAGCTAACGAGCAAACGTGTCAGCTACCTGAAAAAGAGACAACAGTCGTAGCTGCCTAAAAATGCCCCACGCATTTATCGGATAAACACCCTGTCAATGGTTTCTCGACGATGTAAGATGAGGGTTACCCTCGTTTTTGCGAGATAACGACGCTCAATTTTAGCCTGTCTTGTTAGCAGGTGCTAATGCCATTACTATGCATCGTATAAATAGGATACGCAAGGCACTCAATATTTGTGCATCTCTCGCAAATAATGTAAAACATCTTGCCGTGAAATAAAGACTATCGGTCACACAGAGCAGGCGTTCCGAGGTTCGAATGGAGAGTTCGCGGCTGTAAACAAATACACACGCTCAGGCTCTAACACTTCCTCTTCGGTGTCCCTGTCACGTGATCAATTTCAGCCAATTATTGATGGGCGAATTTTGGTACATATGAAAGTAGACGCTATTTTTTTTTTATTTGAGAGCACGTGGTTTTTATAGTAATTTTTTCACTTTCTTCAATTGTCTTTAAATGTCTATGAATGAACTGAATTGACACTCAGTGACTTCCACTGTCCAAATACATATATAGGTATAAGTGACGCTTCTTAATTGACTATGATGTACACACATGGGTGGTTTTCTGGCATTCTGTCCATGGTCTCCAAACATAATGCACTTTCCGTATCAGACTTTCTTTAATCACTGAAGGACCTAACAGGATCTTATGTGTCCCTAAGTGTGTCCTTTCTTCTGAATAGCGTTTACATTGCGTTTCAGGTTTGCTCTGTTGTGAACACCCAACTGTCCATAGACAATTGACATGTGAGACTAAATACACATATTTCATTTGATTTTAAATCAGGATTGAGAGGGGTTTAGCCTATCCCAGTTGCCACTGCATCAGACACATGGTAGACCCTGGAGAAGTTACCAGTCCATCACAGGGCCACCCAAAAGCAAATGACCCTTTTTTTCAGTTTTAGGGGTGTTCTCCAATTCACCCAGCATACATGTGTTTTAAGTATGCAGGGACCCACCTATAGTAATAGTAAATTAGTATAACAACAACGTACAGTTGTGAAAAACCTATCAACTATTGCCTTGTGAGCTGAAAACAAAGTCTGAGGATTGAGTTTGATATCAAAATCCTGTTTCCTAAATGAGCCAGTGTGCTAGGAGTATTTTCAAAATAGCTCAAAATGGACAACATTCTCCTCTGTGAAATTCCCTCCAGAGAATGTAGCTCCATTCCTACAATGTAGTCGGTCTTGTGCATCACTTTATTTGGCCTGGATTTCTGTGGTGTATGTATAGCTTCGATTCAGAATATTTTTGTTTGCTTATTTGTTCAGTTTTGCTTTTGTTAATATAAACCTTCATATGTGTTTAAGGCTAGCATTAGATAATTGGCAACAGAATGTTGAAATACTGCAATGTCAACTCTGCTAATAAAAATGATACATTACTGTAAATGGTACAAAAAAAACAATGTTAAACAGAGGTTAAACATATTTATTGTAGTTCTAATTCTTACAAAAAAGACTAAAGGAAATATTTTTCAACATTTATTCACTGATTAATAGATATTCATGCTATATAAACCTTTTCCCCCTTTTGAAATGATGGTTGCTCCAACAATAAACAGTCAGATAGTCCCATCACTCTTTATTTTCAAGCAAGCAGTAATGACAAGAATAGTTAGATATCATGTCATTCTATTTTGTTTAAATATCATGTCATTCCAACTTTGTTTAAATTCTGAAAGTACAATGACTGGTGATGAAACAGTAAAAACTGCAAGAAACCACATTTGAAAGAAACACATCAAGCTAAAGAATGTCTTTAAGTTATATACAAAGTTAATTTCCGTTAATGGCATACTTGTATTTCACACTTGTAGATTACATCAACATATAAAATTAAGTTGGTTAATTAAGTTCGCTTTTTTCTTATACTTTTTAGTTTCTACTTAGATGAATGAAGCATTTACTGTATTCATTACTGTATTTAAATATATAAATGTAATATATTTTAAGGTGTACTTGTGTTTCATTTATCTGTTTCTTTTTTTTAACTTGTACCTATACATAGGCTCACACCATCATGTAAATGTAGTGTTTTATTTAACTAAACAGTGTCAATCTTTTAATCTGTTGCATCCCTATTTGAAAAAACAAAAACAACACACAAAAAAAAAAAAAAACACAAGGAGTTGTGTCTCCGAGAGTCAGAGGTCCTGAGACTGTGTAGAGGCCCATCGCAGGCTTTGGGATTTTGTGCTCCATTTCACCTGTCATTGCTTAGGCCAGACAAGGAATCTCCCTAATGGCCAGAGTCAGGGGCCCAGAGCGACGAGAAGGGGGAAGAATTGTCACGGGCACATTCTCAGACCTTTAACACGGGTCGCAAGGATGGTTAGAGGAGCATACACTTATTCAGCATGAAAGCACGCACAATTAAGGCTGTGCCTGAAAACATCCCCCTCAGGATCTGAACAGATCATTTTAGGGGTGCTCCCTGTTTCAGATAGCTTTGAAGAATACGCCAAGACTGGTGGAAATGGGCTAATACTACAGCATATTCTGTGTCCTGTAAAGTTTTTAAAATAAGTTCCGAGAACTCATAAGTATATTTTCATTCTTTCATTTTTCATTTCTGATATAATATTATTATTCATATTATTATTCTTTTTTGTGGACTTTTCTTTTTGGCCGCACCAGAATCCCAGACATGTCTTATGTCACGAGCATTAGGCATCCCAAAAAAAAAAAAGAAATCCGCTTTTTGCCAGCCCTAATTACCACTACATGCAAAATGCATGAAGTATAGATTTCAGTTCCTGGTTCTTCACCCATGTCAGTCAGCTGGAAATCGTGTTATTAGCATCACTTCCACCGAAATGGCCAGGGCGGGTCAGAAGACATAATGAGGCAGAGGAAAGGGTCGGGGAGGGGGTCCCAATTCCACCAATGATACGTCTAGTTGCCCAAATGCAGGTGGACAGGGCTGCCAGTGGAGACCAGTGTCAGAGAGGGTCCACGCTTTTTGTGATCACGTCGAAAGGTGACAGACATTGATTGTGTGCAGCCTGACATATCCCATAAGAGAGGAAAGGTCAGGGTCAAATGGCATGAAAATGTAAAAAAAAATGACTAAGCATCACGCAATGTCTTTAACTAAACAAAGCACCCTGCGCGTTTTTTTTTCTGTGATATTAACTAATAATCCTTTTTCCAAGCATGATGTATATGTTGTAAAATCTTAATCATCTTACTTTCAATCTGTTTTTAATACACACACACACATATACAGTATGTATATTTACATACAGTATATATATATATATAAATATGTATATACAAATGCAATGAAAGCAAAGCAATGCTTCTAATAAATCACAAATAAATGCTTCTTTATGTGATATTTATCATGAAACTACTGCACAAGAGGTTATGGGACTAGATACACTGACTAGCAAAAGCATGAAAACGACTAAAGTGCTTATTTGCTTACAAAGCAAAATTCAGTGCAGTGTAACATTGGCTCTCTGCATTCACCACCCACCAACCATTGCTGACTAAGCGCATAATTCCAGTCGAGATACATCCAAAAGACTTTCCCATTCAAGCTCTGCAAAACTGTTTAGAAAATGCTTCAAAAACATAACAAAAATCATCCCAAAATTGCTGATCCAGCTTTAAAACTAATACCAAAGTCAGTCATATCAATACACCTTTAATGCTCATTCCTTCCTTACATTTCACAAATCCCTTTCTATCATACTGGTGTTTATCCTCCCCATAATCAACTCACCTGGCACCAGAAGTGTTCCTAGAACAGGTTGCTATTTTTTTCAAGAAAACAGATATCTACAACAAAGTTAACTTGGATATAATGGACCTAAATCAAGATACTGAGTCATCACTTATTACATGCCCGGTCTGAACCTTCTTCAAAGCCAATCTTCACTCATTATTTTGATAAGGCTGAACGCCTCACCTTTGCTGATCAAAAGTTCCCTAACGTCACAAACCCCAAATTTATCCTTAAAGAGTGTCATTACAGTGTGTTTCATCTCCTGTAAAGTTCTCGTAAGTGACTATTGATGCTATAAAGCTGATCGGTCTCTTTTTTAAAACACTCACCACAAAGGTGCTGAATCTAAATCGCGCCGAAAGTGAGCTGAGCCTCGGGGACTTCACGTGCCATATCAAACGTTATTTTTAAAGCACTTCCCAGCTCTTCATCGGGGCTGCGGATGTTCAAGGCTCTTCTAAAAGCCTCCCCCCGCCAACCTGCATGTTAGAACTGCTAATTTGCTCACCTTTTGTCACTCGCTTAGATATGCGACACACAGGGCCTCCACACACACACATTAGCATGAGTGGAGTGACACAAGGCAGTGATTAAGAAAAACCCTTTTTCAAAAACTTTTCCATGTCGCCCAGTCTTCCATTTTCAGCTGAGGGTGCTTATTTTCGCCTGCGTTTCATTTAATTGTCGCTTGGAAAAACACAGCACATGCTTACATAGGAATTTCATCTACCTGTGATAAGATTACTGAGAGATTACAAAAGTAATTGATGTGAATTCTATGGCCCATAACAGCCAAACAACAGTAAAATTGGGATATATCAATAAAAAGGTCTGATAATCACGTTGTTTCCTGACACATGTCAAAATTATAAGTATATATAGGTATATTTACTGTTTGAAGCTGAAAATTGACCAAAAGAACAGCTTAAAAATAAAATGTTTGCTCTATACATGAGACATTTTTTTAATAAATAGACTAGGTCTATTTATCAAGGTGTAGGTCTATTTATTCAAGTACTTAATAGGTCTTAATAGACCTATTAAGTACTGTCTATACCATTCCAACCTTTAAAATTAGCAGTACTTACTCTAATATTGAGGTCAAGAAATAGCTCTTTGACCATGCATGCAGTCCAATGCTGAATAGAAGATGGTAAAAACGACATGTACATGATCCAGACAGTTGTTGTAATTGCATTTACTTACAGTTCAATTTGATTCGACTGACTTCAGTGCTGTCACGTTTGTTAAAGATCTAGATTTAAATTAGCTGTGAAAACTAGCAGCGATATCTTCAATGTCAGAGTGCTGTGGCCGGCGTGATGAGGACCCCCTCGTACAGAGACAGCGCTGGGGAAGAGCTTATATTAATGAGAAAAACACACAGCAGGCAAGAGCAAAGAAACTTTTCCCCCGCAAGAGCTCAGACAGTGGCTGATACCCACGGCCCACAGGAAAACAAACAATGAGATGACACATGGTAATAATGATGCATAAGTGCGCACTAAGCATCTTGGAGTATAACAAAGTAAATTTGTTCATGGAGAACGATTGTGACAGCTGCTTTTAAAGCGTTTTCTACTTGAAAGTTTTTGGTTCATTATTAAAGTGTGGAGTGTCAGAAA